TTGGGTTATAGTGTTTCCACAGTAAGTTTAATTAACTCATGTTGCCTCCATCTTTGATTACTGGCTGTACTGATAAACGTCTTCATAAAGCAGGGTTAGGAAAATAATATATAAGATTTTCTTGTTAAACTTTCTGAAATGTGTGAATTGAGACAGTGTATGTTCTGCGTTAAAATATATTAAATATTTTGATGTAATTTTCTTGTTTCAGATTCAGAATATGAACAACATAATCACTTTTCCATTGGACAGTTTGCTGAAGGGAGATCTGAAAGGAGTAAAAGGGGTATGTTTATCTTATATATAAAAGACTTGTTGGTACAATAAATACGTTTAGCTAGTGTACTAATCTTCTTTGATGGGAGGCATGGGATACTAAAGTAATGTATTAGCTTAATAAACAAGAGGCTGGGGTTTTTTTGGTTTGGGGTTTTTTGGTGGTGAATTGAGTCATCCCTTCTGGTTGTGGCTTCACATACAGCATACTCTTGACTATGTATACAGAACAACATTTAAGAAGCTTTAAAATGCAGCCCTAAGTTATAGAAGATAAGCAGTGGAAGAGGTGCGAGAATTTAGATATTTACTTAGTTGAGTAGGGGGTAGTATTTTATGTAAAAGTATTATTATTAATATATTTAGCATTCTAAACTTACCTTGGAACTATATGGATTATTAAGAAAGACACTTTAGACTGCATGAGCATAGAATTTTTCTTAACAAAGCTGAAATCTATTTGTGCCCTGAGGATATTTCCTATTTGAAATAACAATAACTTAGGACTCAAATGATAATATGTATATAATAAATTTCAAAGCCTGTAGCCAACAAACTTAAATTTGGCTTACGCTCTGTTTACTGCTGTGCAAACAGGAAGTGACTGGCAGCTATTGTTCTAGGACATTGAAGGAAGAAGAAAAATGTACATAGACTAAAAATGGTCTCTGTAAATTACTGGAGGATAAAGAGATTATTTAGTAAGATAGGCTTATTATCTTGTGTTGCTTGCTTACTACATTTCACTCCTCTTGTTCTTCTCTTTTGCTATGTCAGAACAAATAAATCTATTACAATACAGTGTTGCCCCGTGTTCCTGACTTGAGAAAATAATCAAATGCTGCTTTAATTAATTTCATAGTTGTTGAAATAACTAGCTGACATGTAAGAATTAGTTCCTAGTCTGTAGCTCCAAAGTTTTTCCAGCATCTGACAGTTAACAAAATTTTTTTTGTAGTTGGCTGATCTCTTGAACTACAGCAGAATTTCAACTGCTGCATTTTTAGACATCAGTGAAATAATTTTACAACTTGCTAAGATCATGTTATCCAAGTTGGCTTCTTCACAGGGAAGAAATAAAGGAATTTGGAACATAAGTAATTCAGAATTCTCAGAATTAGTTGTGTCGAGCCATATGGCCTATACAGTTCCCGTTAATTCAGTAGGAAATTGATTTCTTTAGTGGGACGAATCAAGTCCTTAGCCAAGCCTCGGGGCAGGCACTTCTTTCCAGTGGAGCCAGAGACGGAATGATGAGAAAACAGCTGATTTGATTAATTGCAATAGTGTGCTCTTGGGATGACGTGGTTTAAGGAGTGAAATGGAGCTGTAAAAAGCATAGTAAAAAGCATCCTAGAGATGCTTTTAAAAACATGAGTGTATTAATTCTGTGTACGAGATCATTTTTCCTACGTGCAAGATTGCTTTTACACAATCCTTAGGTGAGCTATTCAAGAAAGAGTGGAGTGCTTTATTCTAGTAGGCACTGCAGGTGGCCAAGGTGTGTCTTCATTGTTAGACCCACAGTATTTTTCACGTAAATAGCTAACTGTATTTTTTTTCTTTTTTCTTGACAGGACCTGAAAAAACCCTTTGATAAAGCTTGGAAGGACTACGAAACGAAAGTGTATGTATCTTTTAAACTTTTAAATAAAAGAGAAGTATAACTGAAATCTATAAAGGTCATTATTTAATGTCAAGGTCCAAGCCAGAAGTCCTGGCTGGGAAGTTGAGCTTTTTTCTTTATTTTCCCCTCCCCTTAAAACCTGGAGCTGTGTGAAAATACAAGCGCATAGACACAGTCATTTCAAATTCTGTAATATACAACTTATTTCATGAGTAAATTGTCTTTTATGTGTGTTTGTGTGCCGTGACAGTGTCTGTGGTAGACCTCTTTGTTTACAGAAGTTCCAAGTAATGAGCATAACCTCCCAGTGCATGTTCTTCCACTGCATATTCTTCCATTTCAATTGAGAAAGTTTTGCTTTAATTGGGAAAGACATTTTTAAAATTTTTGATAGCATCCATATTACTTCCCTATAATCTACTACATGTGAAAGTTCGCTTCCTTTTCTGCCTTCCTCTATTTTTGGAGGACACTACTATATAAAATGAAAGTTAGCCACCCTGTGTTTTCATCCTTAACTACCAAAAGTGCAGCAACATAATTATACTTGATGTCCTTTTAAGCATTTGTTGTTGGGTTTTTTTTCTTCTCATCAATGACTAATTCACTATAATTAGCAAGTTTCTTTAGTTGAAGAGTGCAGAAGAAATTACATACTTTATGCCTGAGTGTTTTGAAATGTCTTAACAAAAAATATCAGGAGTATGCAAGTCAAGATTCAGTTCTGGATTTGTTAGCCTAAAACCCTTGTAATGACTCTGTAATGTCTCTTGCTCTAGCATATCTTATGAGACTATGCCCAGTGCTGAGGTCTCTAGGAAGACCTTATTTGATGCTGAGCCTTTGGCACTTACCAACGAGGTGGTAAGGCTGGTGGTGGTGTTTGCTGCTACCATTCTAAAACTGCACATGGCTCCAGATTGATCAAGTACCAGGAACTTTGGTAAACCACATTTAATTAGTGCAGTTTGGTTAAAGATATGGATGTTTTCTGCATTTAATGCCAAGTTTGGATACTCTCACCAGGTGTATTGAGTATTAGAAGTGGATGAACACCTATCTGAGTCTTGTCAACTGTGTCTCATGTTGTGTGTCTAGCCCAGCTTACCGTAAGCCACTTGTTTGATGGTACCTGATGCACAGTATAAACAGGTATAAAACCAGTTTTAATAACAGCATTTTATATCCAGCTAAATGGATCAAATGAGTCAACAAAGCTCAGCACCTAAGATCAAACATAATTAATTTTGGTACCTTGTAAATCTTCAAGTGGTTTAGTGCCCTGCATCAGGAACAGTTGTTTCCTGGGCTGGCCAAGTCAATTGTATCAGCACAGCTGATAGTCTCTGAAGTAGAATTTTGTAGTGGGTTTTATTCCTTATTCCAGTATTATATGGATTGTGACTTGTCGGTTGAGTTTCGAATCACGCATCCACCATCTTTGATCTACTGAGATAGTGCTGCATGTATCAGACCATTTCTGATGATACAGATCCAGAAGAATGACATATGATGACACTGTTTAACATAAATAGCTTGCAGATCCCCAGACACCCAGATTGGCTGAGAATCTAGCGCTATTTTTTTTATATTTTTTTAATTGCACAAAGTTATAATGATTCTCTGGTACCCATCTGAAGTTGTGTACAGTCTTCAGAAATTATTCCTGTAGGTGGTTTACTCAAAAAAGCAACAAGTTTAGCAAGTTAGCTAAATTTCATTATTCCTTTTGTGAATAACAATGAGAACAGTCTAATTACTGCTTGCTAGGTTCAGTTTGTGAGGAGGACCTGAGTGGCTTTTGGTTTTTGAAACTGCCTTAGCTATAGCTGGATTTTCATAACAAGGCATTCTGAAATATTGAGATAAACCTCCAGTCTGACAGCCCGAATCCTTGGAAGATTGTGATGGCTCCAGTGTTTTGTGTTCTTAATATTAGTGAACAATCTCATTTGGTGCCATGCCAGCTATCAGCTGTTGAAGTAATTAAGATTTCTAATCATTGCCCAGGGCAGTAGTTGATCTCTGAGGATGGGCCATAAAGAACAGTCCTGTAATTTAGTCTGCTGTTGCCTACCAGTGCTTGATTGCTGGATCTGAAAGCTTGTTTGCTTATGTATAACTCACTCATAGTGACATCCCACAAAGTTTATGTGCAGAATTTAAAATACATTTGCACACTGCTGGGACTTATGGTATAAGGTATAAGAACACTGTTACTACTGGACCAAGATCTCTGATGCTTTTAGAATTTCTGATAGAATATTCACCAGGATGAGTATGATGCAGTGATGTAAAGATTTGTACTTTGATCCTCAGTTTGGTCAGAGCAGGTGGTCTGTTTCAGAGTCAGGTACTCCGGAGATATTTTCATTTGTTTTTTAATTTAGTTAAGTACTTGAGAAGTAAAAATGTCCATAGAAAATGTATTTGAATCTGTATATTTGGGGATTCTCATTTGAGTTTAAGGACAGTAGATACCTGGAAATGTTGGTGTGTATGTTACTTCATTCAGGACCTGAAAATGTGATGTTGACGTTGTGTTTATTTTCTGTCTGTGGGATTGAATCCAATGCTGCTTGTATGATATCGTGAGATTTTTTTTTTTCCTTTTAACCAACAGTCCTTTAGAAAGCCTGCTTTATGATTTTGCTTTCAAATAAGACACTTGGTTTTTGATCTGAAACAGGTTCCTTTTTCCAGTGTAAGGAGATACCTCTCTCCAAGTTACCTCTGTAGTTTCTGCAAGATTTTTTAACAAATGAAGCACACCTCCTTGACAATGCTTATTTCTAAGCCATTTATGTGTCAGGTTATTCAACATGCGAAAACTGAAGGTAGCACATGTTAATCAGGAAATTCTTTCAGATCCATTACCATTTTCTGTGATTATTTCCAGGTGGTGAGCTGGTTCAATTGCTGTGTGCTCTAGTTTTTTTAAGTGGTTAGATGAAAGCCCCACATCAGTATTCTAGAGTTTAAAGCTCTTAGTCTAGCCTGTTGGACTCCTTCACTTTGATCAAGACCAAAGGATCATCTGCTTGAGGCTTGCGATACAAAGCCTGGGAATCCTATATACAGGAAAATTCTTTAAAAGAAGGGCCTTTTGTTGTTGTTGTTGCTTTACAACAGCAGAAATTACTTATTGTGGCTGAAGTTTGGCAATGAGGGAATATTGTTTTTCAGTGCAAGCTGCCTCACTTCTACCAAGGAGCAGACCAATTTTTCATAGTCCTGTTGAGTTAAATTCAGACAGGAACTTCCCTGAGACCCCCACCCCTGCAGTAGGACTGTGGGATTTGTCAGACCCTCTTGTGTCTATGATCAGTTCCCAGATAAGCTGAGATGTTGCCAGCTGTCATTATTGAGTGTTGCTCTTTACAAATCAGAGACAGCAACTTTAATGATGTGATTTTGAAGCTAGGGTGAGAATATTAGTTTGAGCCTGAATCTGTTCAGATCATCTTTATAATCTACTAAATTTTGTACATAGGAAAACAGTGAGGTTTTTCTGGGTTGCTATTGTATATGCCACTGAGGTTTCTTGAGATAGTAACTGTTTTGATTCTGTGGCTGTCCCAAATGGATCTGAACTTCCTTATAGCTGTGCATTTTGGTTATCTGTAGCAGTGGGTGGATGCAGAGTCATCTCAAGAATTCTTAATCGTGAAATGAATTTCCTTGTTTTAATATCTTCAGTCTCTGCCTTAACAAAAAGGGCAAAGGGACTGGGAGAGCTAACTTGAGCCTCACCTATAGCTTGTGCTGCCAGAGTGGGATGGTGGATGTAGGTGTTGATAGCCAGAAGTTCGGTCAGCCTTCTTCAGCTTGTTACCTAAGATGACTCCTTGTTTGGACTGTGCCTAAAACCAGTCCTAGGTTTATGCTTAGTTAGCTATCTTTTCCAGTGATACTTCTTCAAATATGTGACTATCTCTTCTTACTCTTCCCCCCTTCTTTTTCTTTTCCCTTTGAGTTAACAAACCATTCAAGGCTGCTAGGCTGCGCTTTGTCTGCATATCCCTCTGTATCATATGCTTAAAATCATACTGTTCATCTGCATTTCCTAGTCACAAGTACAGACCTGTGAAGCTAAGTGCCAGATATCAAAGTGTTATTTTGTAGTCTGTGGAGAAGTGGCAGTGTCTTCATCCTGATTTCTGTCTGGATAGGCTGTCTTTATAAGGAAGAATTCGAGCTTATTTGCCTCAGTATCTGTGCTGGTTTTGGCTGGGATAGAAAATTAACTCTATCCCAGCCAAAGCCAGCACAATATTTCATCTCTCTTACTTGCATTTTTGTGATGACATATCAGGTGCTAATATACTCAAGTGTGACTTATTTGAAAAGAAATTCAGTTAAGTCAAAAAGAGCATTTGTTTTGCTTTTTCCCCATAACAATTTCTGAGCTGCTACTTCAAGCTCTGTATGTAATTAAGTGTGTTTAAAAATTACTGTGTATCTAGTCTTGTTTGGGAGAGTGATGTTAAGATCCATTCTTATGCTCTTGTGTCACCATCCATCAATGCTGATCATTATGAAACTATAGCTACCTAACTTCTCAGAGTGTTTTCCTGAAGATCACCTTAGTTGAAGTAGCTGAGGGAGGCTGGATCCATTTTTCTTCATACATTGGGACTGTGCTCGAATAAGGGAGTAAGAGGAGCAAGTAATCCATAGCTTTATGCCAGCCTACCTCAATCAAAAATTGGGAACATCCTGAGGTGACATTCACGAATAATTAATCTTTTCTCACCATCAGTCGTTAATATGCTTCAGTTGAAGCCATAACGATTTTAAAATGTTTTTAAAGCTTTAGAGTAGTTAAAAGTAGTGCATTTCTCTTGGGACCTCAGTTACAGTCTTTGTTTCCCATGTAAGAGCTGGGTGATGCTGCCTGCCACTACAGCACTGCAGCGGGACTAGTCTGTCTGTGTCCTTCAGGTAGAATTGGTGCAGGCTGGGCTCTTTTTGTTATGAGACAGCTGCTCTCGCCCATG